AGATCATTCATTCGAACAATGAATCTTTCAATACTATGAACCCCTCCTCCACACGTTTCTGAATTGTACACGTTTTCAATAACGGGTTCAGTATGAAGTAGTATCACTCAAATACCAGTGCTTAAATTATTCATCATTGAATGATTCGGTCCAATTCCACATTAATTGGAGGCGATCCTGAAGGTCAAATGCGAATTACCCCAGGTGGTTATCAGTGGATAACCGACATCCTCATAAGACAAGCAGTTGAATTAAATGCTCCTGTATGCCTCTTATTAGAAGGTGGATATTTCCTTGAAACACTTGCAGTTAATGTCGAATTTTGCATTAAGGTACAACTTATTTCAAATTTCACTTCCGTTTAATCCATTCTATGAGTATCAAATCAGCCTGAAGTTGCACTTCTCCTCTTCCTCACTCATGTAAAATCATCATTTTATAGGCTCTCCTTGGCAAACCACTACCTCGAATTGATCAAAGTTTTTGTGATAAAGTATTCTTGAACTCACTGCATACAGCAGTCGCTCATTATGGTCGAATGTTTCCAAGTCTAAGTCTATTTGCGGATGTTGTCAACAGAATCAGACAACTCAAGGGCCTTCAGCCAGTGAAGGTTCGATAGTTTTCCGATTGGAGATCGCTCATTGAGCATTCAAATCTCGGTCATTTGTCTGCTGAAAACGTTAATTGGCCTCACCTGAACGGAATTGTCTGACTTAAGTAGGTGAAGGATGGAGAGTTGATGAGACGTTGCTTTTCGAAATCATTTGGATAATCACGGCAGTGTGAATGCGTAATCATTTGTTTCCTTTAAATGTCCATCTCAGTGTACTGATTAATCCAGTTGCGCTTACAGTCAATCTGTTGAATGTTGCATCTGCTCATCTGTTTCAGCCAATTGATGCTGAATACAAAGGCTTCCGTGAGTTTGTTTTACCCTATCCAACACGCGGTACGTATAAAAACTTATCAAAAAATACGATCCGAAGTGTTTGTGGCGAAGTTGAATCGATCATGAAGTCTTACAACGAACCTCATCAAACAGTCAGTATCTTCTGAACTGAACCAGTTCATCTGGAACCGTTTGAAAAGAGTTTAACGATAATATTTCAAAGGCACAGTTTTTTTCAAAAAGGCGATATTTCATTGTGCAAACTGTTTGAATTAGTCTCGATGATGGGTTGAAATAAATTTATCTGATTGAATGAAACGATCGTGAAGAGGTGCAACGACGATATTTTAAGATTCAGCGATGAAATATATTGGCAAATATAAGGTGTTGTATTGAGACTGATTGCTCATGTTAAGATTTTTTACGAATAGGAAAAAATTTGAGAGAGATTCCCGTTCATCAATTGTTATTGTTTTGAAAGGACTCAAATAATCATATAGAAGCTTTTTGTTCTAACACATAATCACCACAGGGATTGTTTTAGCGTGAACTTTTACTGCAATTCAATAGCGAACACAGCAGGCTCAATGAAGACTTTGTTTCCATTGATATCACCGACGCAGTTGATTTGCAAATTGTGCGAAACTTTCTCAACGTGCATGTAAGATGTTCAAGCAAACTAAAAACTTGTGTTCGAAAACAAACAGCACTTCGTTTCGTTGAGTTAGATACATGAATTCATTCACTTGAATGCCTCCACTTTCGGTTATCGGAAAATAAAACTTTGATTTTGATTTCAGCAAATTTCTTTGCATTAATAACACCAATTTTTTCAGCTGTGTGAATCCTCATTGAGTTTCGACGAAAATATTCGGATTGTACCAACTGAGCTTGGAATGAGCGAATCATGTTGTTCAGTGAGAACTGATCTAAACAAGGACTCAGAACGACAAGCAACGATTAATTGTATTTGTGAAACACTGCTGAGGATATTTGAAAGAGGATTTGCAAGAAACTTTGAGCATATTTTACTCGCTGATATTTGTTGCGAATAAATGTTTATTTCCTTTGTTTAAACTGTTTAAACGGTATATTGTAAACTGATTGCACGCAACTCAAAATTCGGATCTCGATATCGAAATTTATGTTCTGAAAAATGTCTGGAGTTCGGCATTCGA